CCACTGCCCAGGGTAGCTGCTGCTGCCAGGATTTCAGGTGAGTTGCAAACCAGTGGTGAAGGAGGAGGGAAGGAGCTTTGCAAGGGGGTGGAGGTCCAGGATAGGAAGCCCCAGGACGGGAAGAGGCAGCCTGCACAAGTTCCAGATTTGGGAAAAGGAAGGAGGAAAGGGAGTTCTTTTTTTAATGGGGGCTTTGAAGGTGGAGTACGGGGGTTACACTGTGGAAAGAGAGAAGCTTCCTCCTGCACGGATCTGGTGTGAAGGGAGTTGCAGGGAAGGAGGCGGGAAAGGGGAGAGGGTTGGGTATTGCTGGCCAGGCTCATAATAATAATAATAATAATAATAATAATAATACCCTGCCCATTGTCTGGGTTTCCCCAGCCCCTCTGGGCGGCTTGCAACAAAATAAAAAACACCCAAAACAACTAAAACAACCAAATATTGAAGTCTTTTGTAGAAATGGCCTTCGATTTTAAAGAAATGTCCTCTTCAAGAAATCATGTCATGTAAATATGTATGTTGTCCTCGAGGTCGAAGCACACACAGAATACCTAGTATGAGCAAGCAGTGCTCCAAAGTGTTTCTCTTGTGAACTGGCCATCTAAGTTGTTTACTCAAGGCAAAGGCTCCTGTTTCCCAAAAGGACAGGAGGGGGAGGTCTCTCCCCCATTTTTAGGCCACCCCACTCCCACCGCATGGAAGGCAGAGGTCTTGTTCTTCCACAATCCCAGTAAACCTTGTGTGTATCTGAAGTGAACCAGGTGCTGCGGCTCCTTCCCCTCTCACTGGGCTGCTGCAAGAAAAGGCAGCGGAGGAGGAGGAAACAGATGGGTTTGAAGGCTCTTTCTGCCCCTCTCTCCTGAGCAGAGGGTGTTTGCAGGGCAGGAGGACAGAGGAGGCAGCAGTGGGTGGATCCACCGCCTCTCCCAGGGGGTCCAGATGTAAGCAGGGGACTTCCTTCTTCTCCATGTATTCAGAGCAGTCCAACCATGTATTCAGAGCAGTCCTTTGCAAATTACTGTCTTTCTCCGTGTATAAGATGAGGTTTTTTGCCCAATTTTTAAAGTTAAAAAACATGGCTCGTCTTATACATGGAATATAGCAATTAAACATATAAATAAATGCAGTACTTGCTCTGGCAGTCGCAGCTCCTCGCAGTGGCGAGCCCTGGGGCATCCATAGTCTGCTTGCCTCCCCCCACTCTGCCCGCCCTACAGCTGGGAGGGAGGCTATAGGCTGTTCGTTTTTGCCGTGCAGCGTCTTTGTGCTGCTCAGCAAACTCTGCAAACTAATGGGGAAGTCCGCCTGCAAAACAAAGCTGCTGATCAAAGATATTTCTCCCCTCTATGCCTTTCCTGCGCCTTTCCCATGAAACATCTTGGAGACTACAAATTTCTGCACTGCTCCTCTTGCGTAACGTTGCACCGCCCGCCTGCTATTCCGTAGCCGCCTCTACCCATGCAGACTCTGTAAATGAAGGGGGAAGGGGAGGAGGCCACCTGCAAAGCGGAGCTGCCGATCAAGGTATTTCCCCCCTTTCTGCCTTTCCTGCGCCTTTCCCAGGCAGAAACCACCTATCAGCTCCCCGATCGCCACCGGCAGCCGCCAATCACGCTCCCGCTTGCTGCGACAAGGGCAGCTGTCTATTGGCAGCCGCAGCAGCAAGCAGGAGGGCTAATGGCAGCGATCAGGCAGCTGCAACACGAGTGGTTGTGAGCTGCGTTCTGGTGGGCTAGTGATTTTCAGCATTCCCCCCAAATAATCCTCCCCAGAAGCTCAATCCCCCTATTTTAAATATTTTGAGGCCCCCCAAATAGGGGTCGTCTTATAGACAGAAAAATACGGTACGTCTCATGTTCCATGGGATCTAGTCTTATCTCCTGAGTTAACACCAATAAAACTCCGAAACAGAGAGGAGTCCACCATTGTTTATTGCAAAGCAATAGGTTACAGTTGGATCGTTCCACAAAACTGCAACCCTGCCCAGTGGTTCAGGCAGTGGTATTTATATAATTTCAAACAAAGCATTTCGATTTCGAGCAATCATTTACATCAGAGATGTCCAAGCGCTAGACCACAATTGACAGGTAGACCTCTGTGATGTTTTGGGTCGATTATGAGACCTTTGAAGGCCCCACCCCCTTTCCGCAAGAACCTCTGCACATGCTCCTGTTTTTGTTTTTGCTCAGCAGTTCCTTGTTTTAACGTTTATTGTTGCCAAAAGAATCTAAATTTTTCTTGCGTCCCCCGCCTCCTTAAAAAAGTCCCTTTAGAGTTTCACGTTCCTCATATTCATCATTACCTCATTTTATTTATAATACACATGTGTGATAAGCACTGGCAATTTCTGCTGATTTAGTTTTGATTCCCACAGCATTCTGTTACGTTGTGTTGGTGTGCATGTTGGGAACCTGTGTTACATGGAGCCATTTGCACCATGTGTTGACTCGTGTTCCAGCTTTCAGCTGTATCTTTGTGATTCTCATATTAGCTGTATTTCTGCCCCAATTGGGGGGCGGCAACTTGCAAAATAATCAGTTATAAAGCACAGACTACCATAACTTCTGTTTTAGAAGCACACTCAAGGATTTACAGAGATACACATTATTACATTTATTGTGGCCCTTTGGGCAACTGCCACAAGGCCATTCCTGCCCATACCATGCCAGCCTTAGGAAGGGAGAAGGGACAGGCAGGCGGAAGGAATTGCCAAAGGTGTTTGAAAATGGGTGGGGGCTCTTGGGAAGTGGGTGCCCAATAGGGGCTTCTACAGAGGCAGCAGAATCCCTACAGGGGCTCTGAGACTCCCTTGACTTCTTCCTTCCTCCCAGGAAGCTACAACTTGCCTTGGATTCTGCGCTCCTCAAGAAGTTGAACCTGTAAACCTAGTCAGGATGGACGGAGGAAGATGGTTCATTTATTGTCTTTCCTAAAAGTCTAACAGGGTTTTCTTTCTTTCCCCCCACTCCCAAACAGGTGAGGAAGACGATGGTCAGAATTCTACGGAGCCATCTGTGAATTCATTGGGAAGAACAAAGAAACAGTTTAAATGCAAGGAATGTGGAATGTGCTTTAGACCAACAAACTCACACAGGAGAGAATCCATGTAAATACATGGAGTGTGAAAAGAACTTCAGTGAAAGTAGAGACCATAGAATACATCAACAAAATCACAATGGGGAGAAACCATTTAAATGCATTGAACGTGGAAAGAGCTTCAGTCATAGTGGAGCCCTCAGAACACATCAGCGAACTCACACAGGGGAGAAACCGTTAGAATGTATGCAGTGTGGAAAGAGCTTGAGTTCTAGTGGAGCCCTTAGAACACATCAACGAACTCACACAGGGGAGAAACCGTTTGAATGTATGGAGTGTGGAAAGAGCTTCAGTTGTAGTGGAAACCTTAGAACACATCAACGAACTCACACGGGGGAGAAACCATTTAATTGCATTGAATGTGGAAAGAACTTCAGTCGTAGTGGAGACCTTAGAATACATCAACGAACTCACACAGGGGTGAAACCGTTTGAATGTTTTGAATGTGGAAAGAGCTTCCGTGAAAGTGGAAACCTTAGAATACATCAACGAACTCACACAGGGGTGAAACCGTTTGAATGTTTTGAATGTGGAAAGAGCTTCAGTCAAAGTGGAGGCCTTAGAAGACATCAACAAACTCACACAGGGGAGAAACCATTTAAATGCATTAAATGTGGAAAAAGCTTCAGTCGTAATGGAAACCTTAGAACACATCAACGAACTCACACGGGGGAGAAACCGTTTAATTGCATTGAATGTGGAAAGAACTTCAGTCGTAGTGGAGACCTTAGAATACATCAACGAACTCACACAGGGGTGAAACCGTTTGAACGTTTTGAATGTGGAAAGAGCTTCCGTGAAAGTGGAAACCTTAGAACACATCAACGAACTCACACAGTGGTGAAACCGTTTGAATGTTTTGAATGTGGAAAGAGCTTCAGTCAAAGTGGAGGCCTTAGAAGACATCAACGAACTCACACAGGGGAGAAACCGTTTGAATGTATGGAGTGTGGAAAGAGCTTCAGTGAAAGTGGAAACCTTAGAACACATCAACGAACTCACACGGGGGAGAAACCATTCAATTGCATTGAATGTGGAAAGAGCTTCAGTTGTAGTGGACACCTTAGAACACATCAACGAACTCACACAGGGGTGAAACCGTTTGAATGTTTTGAATGTGGAAAGAGCTTCCGTGAAAGTGGAAACCTTAGAATACATCAACGAACACACACAGGGGAGAAACCCTTTAAATGTATTGAATGTGGAAAGAGATTCAGTCAAAGTGGAAACCTTAGAAAACATCAACAAACTCACACGGGGGAGAAACCATTTAATTGTATTGAATGTGGAAAGAGCTTCAGTCGTAGTGGAGACCTTAGAATACATCAACGAACTCACACAGGGGAGAAACCGTTTGAATGTATGCAGTGTGGAAAGAGCTTGAGTTCTAGTGGAGCCCTTAGAACACATCAACGAACTCACACAGGGGAGAAACCGTTTAAATGTATTGAATGTGTAAAGAGCTTCAGTCGTAGTGGAGACCTTAGAATACATCAACGAACTCACACAGGGGTGAAACCGTTTGAATGTTTTGAATGCGGAAAGAGCTTCTGTGAAAGTCGAAACCTTAGAATACATCAACGAACACACACAGGGGAGAAACCCTTTAAATGTATTGAATGTGGAAAGAGCTTTAGTAGTAGTGGTCCCCTTAGAATACATCAACGAACTCACACAGGGGTGAAACCGTTTGAATGCATTGACTGTGGAAAGAGATTCAGTCAAAGTGGAGTCCTTAGAATACATCAACGAACTCACACAGGGGTGAAACCGTTTGAATGCATTGACTGTGGAAAGAGATTCAGTCAAAGTGGAGCCCTTAGAATACATCAACGAACACACACAGGGGAGAAACCCTTTAAATGTATTGAATGTGGAAAGAGCTTCAGTCAAAGTAGAAACCTTAGAATACATCAACAAACTCATACAGGGTAGAAACCTTTAAATGTATGGAGTGTTGAAAGAGCTTCAGACAGTGTGGAGACCTTAATATTCATGAGTGAATTCACCCAGGTGAAAAGCCGTATCAAGGTATGCAATGTTCCACTCACGTTTCACTATTTACCTCACATTAAGAAACTCATAAAGGCGGGAATCAATTTTAAATGCATGGAATCTGAGTGATGTTTTGGTGTTTGTATTTAAATTTGCATATACATATATATGTATTAAAGTAATGAAGGTCACATATACTAAATGTAGAAAAGAAGTTGGAAGTTGTTGCTAGATAAACGGGGAGAGTGTGAATCTGGAATGCTCAAGGTGTGTGATGAATCTGTTGAGTTTTGACCTGTGCCCTTCAATGCCAAAATGATGGGCTGCCCTTGTCTTGTGGATCAGCATCTGTCTGCTTTAGGGAAATGGGGTACCTCAGATGTTGGGAAACAACGCCCATAAGTCTCAGCCCATATGGCCAAGAATGATGGGAGTTGTAGTTCAAAAACTCAAGGGTGGAAAATCTCACGTTTCTTAGAACTTTTCTTTATGAATAATTATAGGTAAAACTTATGTTGATACAGAGCTCATTTTTTATTCCAGGAGCAGCTGGTCACTTCTGCTTTATAAACAAAGCCAAATATATTGACACACTTTATATTATAACCAAATTTTAGAACAGAGGGAAACATTTTTTTAAAAACAAACCCTTTTCTTCTTTACAAACCCTTATCTTCTCAATCCAGGATTTGCTTTTCATATATATAAAAATATTTGGTTAGCAAGGGGGTACAGAAATAATAATTAAAAAGCTACAATAAAAGCATTATCAGCATTTAAAAAGAAATGCTATTGGATCTTCAAGGCATTGAGTTACAAATTAAGGGAAAGATCAACCATTTCTTCTGCAAGCTGTTCCCCATCCAGTATTTCCCATCTTCTGCCTTCTGAACTATGTTCCTCTGCAAACCACTGGTCCAAATCTATACAGTCCTCCTGCTCCTGGGAAGATTCAGAGGGAGGCTCTCACGAATGCGCCTCAGTGCAGCTCTCCTCAGCTGGGTCCCTGGTTAGGTTTTGGTTTAGGGGAGCAAGCATGGGCCTGGCCCTTGGGTGGGGGCGAGGGGAGAAGGGAAGAGAAGTAGAGGGGATGCTTCTTTTTCCACGCAAGGCTTGTTCTTGTTGCTCCCAAGTATGTACCTGTAATCAGCAAGTGTGCATTTAGCAGGAGTGTATCCCTTTGTCGTGGAGTGCAAGTTAATTCAGAAGGCATTAGAGCGAAGCGCGTGTATCGCATATGTTAAGTTGATTGCAACCTTTTTTAAAAAAATTAATATTCTTTATTCATTAAAAAATTTGCATGTCTATACGAACGCATCCAGTCTTAAGGAAATTAGCCCTGAGTGCTCATTGGAAGGAGAAATCATGAAGCTGAGGCTGCAATACTTTGGCCACCTCATGAGAAGAGAAGACTCGACTTCCAGGGTCGGCGCCATCGGTAATGGTGGATTCCCTCTAACTTTGAGGGATTAAGCTTTGCGGAAATTGGGTCTTGCCGCTACGGCAAAGCGGGGACCCCTCTAAAAATCACAGGCGGGTGAAGCCTGTGACCGTGGGACTCGGTGGACACCTTCAGTGCCCCCCCAATTCAGCGCCCCACCTGGAAAGTCGACTGAAAAGGACTATAATCCTAACATCAATACAAGAGATCTCCCTCCCTTGGTTGGAGGAGGGGGGGGGAAAGGGAGAAGTAAATTTTCCTGCAAAAAGAGAGGAAAGGAAACAAAAGTCCACCGCTTAAAGCCTGGGAACGGGCTGCCAATGGACAATAAGATTGCCGCATTGTGAAGCGCACTGCTTATGGACAATGTAATTTTTGACAGCTAACTCTGCAAGAGAGATACATTGTTTCTGACTGGTTTCTCCTGATTTTAAGGTAACAAAACTAACTGAAATTGAAACTGTTGCTTATTTTGTTAAATGGGGGACTAGAAAAAGTTATTTTAATGCAACAAGTATTGACTGTTACTGTGTCCCCCTAGAGGAAGTTTGAAATTGTTACAACAACTGGCCAGGGGCATTTTCCACTTCAAAACAAACTCTGGCCGTGGGATCGACCTTGGGCTCCAGTTAAAGTGTTATGGCAGATGGAAAAGAAAAAATAGATTTGCTTCAAGAAAAAACAAGAAGGTCTGGTAAATCGTGGCAGCAGCGAAAAGCATCAGCATCTGGCCCTTCTGCACCACCAGGGGCAGCATCTGTTCAACTTAAGTTAAAAGGAATGGTATCTGAAGATGTTTTAGCTCTGGCATTAGGCAAAGATTGGGTCAAGAGTTTATCTCATCGGACAAGGTTAAAAAAAGAGGAGTAGCGATTTATGCAAAAGAGAGCCTATCACCGAAATTTATCTTCAAAGATGATCAAGGAAGATTTGTGGCAATTGAAATTCAAACACAAGGAGAGAAATTTTTGATAGGAGTTTATGCACCAAATGAGGGGAAATCTGAATTCTTTAAAAAGTTGCATGAGACCTTGTTGGACTATCTGGACTATAATATCATCATGATGGGAGATATGAATGGAGTGGTATCTACAAATATGGACAAGGCACAGAGACAGGTAGTTACCAAGGACGGCAGACTACCAAAAACCTGTTTTGAGATGACTGACAATATGGACTTAGTTGACATTTGGAGAACAAAGAACCCCTTGGGTAGAGAGGGAACTTTCTTCTCTGAAGCCAAAATGACATGGACAAGAATTGACCAAATTTGGATAAGTAGAGCAGTGTTTCCCAACCTTGTGCCTCCCAGCTGTTTTTGAACTACAACTCCCATCATCCCTGACTAGCAAGACCAGTGGCAAGGGATGATGGGAATTGTAGTCCAAAACAGCTGGAGGCACAAGGTTGGGAAACACTGAAGTAGAGGACTGGCTCCAAAGACTAGAAAAGTGGAAATTTGTCCTAAAACTTGCTCCGACCATAATGCTGTGAAAATGGAGATGAAACTAACACCGATTGGCTCCTTCAGATGGAGGATGAATGACACCTTGTTTAGAGACGAAGAGGTTACCAAGAAGGCCCAAAAAACTTTGAGAGATCATTTTGAGATAAATATGAATACTACCATTGAAAAAAGAGTAATCTGGGACGCAAGCAAAGCGGTTATGAGGGGGTTTCTGATTCAACAGAATGCAATAAAGAAGAGAACTCAAAACGAGAAAAAAGATAAAATTTTTGGAGAAAATAAAAGAAGGCGAGAAGAAACAGAGGGAAACCAAAGTCACAAGAGATTCTGAGAGAAATAAAGCTACATCAAGTTCAATATATGAAAATGATGAATCAGGAAATAGAGTGGAAAATTAAACAGATGAGACAAAAGACATTTGAATCGGCTAATAAATGTGGGAAATTGTTAGCCTGGCAAATAAAAAAAGACAAAAATTTAACACCATTACAAATTTGGAAGTGGAAGGAAAGAATATACAGAATCCAGTGGAGATTAGAAAATGTTTCCAGAGATACTTTAAACAATTATATACACAAGGGCCACAGAAAGAGATTGATATAGATCAATTTTTAAAAACAAATGGACTACAAAAAATCTCTCAAGAAAATAAGTTAACGTTAAACTATAAAATAACAGAACAGGAGGTAGAAGGTGCTATCCAGAATATGCAACTGGGTAAATCTCCAGGGCTGGACGGTTTAACTTCAAGATATTATAGATCTTTGAAAGATTGGATAATTCAACCACTAAAGGAAGTTTGTAATGGAATTTTGGAGGGGGGAAAAGCACCAGCGCCGTGGAAGGAAGCTTACATTACACTTATACCGAAAACTGAGTCTGAGAAGACACAACTTAAGAACTACCGCCCCATATCTCTGCTTAATGTGGATTACAAAATCTTTGCAGATATTTTGGCTAAAAGATTAAAAAAAGTACTAGTGGAAGAGATAAAGACCAAGCAGGCTTTCTCCCGGGCAGACACTTGTCTGACAACACGAGGCATATCATTAATACCGTATTTTTCGCTCTATAACACGCACCTGACCATAACACGCACATCGTTTTTAGAGGAGGAAAACAAGGAAAAACATTCTGAATGAAACAGTGGATGTATCATTTTTGTGCTTCATGCTGTGGCCACAGACATGTGATCTGATGGTGAATTTGGGGTAGCTCAATGCAAAGATCCTGAGGATCCATGTGGATCCATGCTTTTTAACCACATTTTTGCACCATTGCAGCCCCAGGCAACAGTGCGTGTGTGATTTTTGGGGGGCAGGCTGCTATGTGATCTGATGGTGAATTTGGGGTGGCCCAATGCAAAGATCCTGAGGATCCATGTGGATCCATGCTTTTTAACCACGTTTTTGCACCATTGCAGCCCCAGGCAACAGTGGGTGTGTGATTTTTGGGGGGCAGGCTGCTATGTGATCTGATGGTGAATTTGGGGTGGCCCAATGCAAAGATCCTGAGGATCCATGTGGATCCATGCTTTTTAACCACATTTTTGCACCATTGCAGCCCCAGGCAACAGTGGGTGTGTGATTTTTGGGGGGCAGGCTGCTATGTGATCTGATGGTGAATTTGGGGTGGCCCAATGCAAAGATCCTGAGGATCCATGTGGATCCATGCTTTTTAACCATGTTTTTGCACCATTGCAGCCCCAGGCAACAGTGGGTGTGTGATTTTAGGGGGGCAGGCTGCTATGTGATCTTATGGTGAATTTGGGGTGGCCCAATGCAAAGATCCTGAGGATCCATGTGGATCCATGCTTTGTAACTACATTTTAAGTGGGGAGTGAAGGAAAAACACAGAAGGGACAAGAGAGCGGTGTGCAGAGAAGCAGCTGGCTAAGAAAGCAGGAGAGGGATTTTACGGGAGGGAGGAAAGAAAGGCAAAAGTTTCCACAAACCGAAGCCAGCTTTCTCTCTCTTCCTGTATGTTTTCTGGCTGTCTGCGAGGAGCACGGAGAGGAATTAGAAGGAAAGACCTCTGCTTTCCCCTCTGCTTGCCTGGAGGGGAGGGGATTTGCCTGCTCTTTGTTCCGTTTGAGCAAACACAGCAACGAAACAGAGGAGGGTAGGCAGTAAGACCCTGAGGCAGAATGCAGGAAAGCTGCAACTTCCTCTTTTCAGGTTTCCCTCTCCGACACAAGGCACGATTGATTTTTGCTGATTTTTGTTCCTGCGCTCCCCTAATCGGCTCCATGGACCCCCCACATTCGCTCCATAACACGCACAGACATTTCCCCTTCCTTTTTAGGAGAAAAAAATCTGCGTGTAATAGAGAGAAAAATACAGTATTTTAGAAAAATTACAAGTGAACATTAATACTAAAGCAGTTTTGATATTTGTGGATGCGGAGAAAGCTTTTGACAACATTTCTTGGAGTTTTATGAAGAAAAATCTTCAAGGGATGGGGTTGGTCAAGGTTTTGGAAATGGTATAGGTGCAATTTATTCAGAACAAAAGGCTAAACTAATTGTTAACAATGTGGTGACGGAGGAATTTAAGATAGAGAAAGGGACACGACAAGGTTGCCCAATTTCCCCATTGCTCTTTATTTTGGTCCTGGAGGTTCTCCTAAATATGATCAGAAGGGACCAACTGGTTAAAGGTATATAAGTTGGAGCCAAATTGAAAGCTTTTGCAGACTAGTACTGATATCACAGGAGCCAGAATCTAGTACTAAAAGAGTATTGGAATTGATTCAAGAATTTGGTCAGGTTGCAGGATTTAAGTTGAATAAGTTAAAAACTAAAGTTCTAGAGAAAAATCTAACACCGATTGAGAAAGAGAGGTTTCAGACGGAGACAGGTTTAACATTGGTTAAGAAAGTAAAATACCTGGGGGGTTAATATGACTGCTAAGAACTTGAATTTATTTAAAGATAACTATGAAAAATGTTGGTCAGAAGTGAAAAAGGATTTAGAAATATGGTCAAATATGAAGCTTTCCTTGCTAGGCCGTATTGCTGCTATAAAAATGAATGTATTGCCCAAGAATGTTGTTTTTGTTTTAATCATTGCAAATTTTGGACAAAATGGACTGTTTCAAGAAGTGGCAGAGAGATATTTCCAGATTTGTCTGGCAGGGCAAGAAGCCCAGAATAAAATTTAAAATACTAACTGATGCAAAAGAAAGAGGTGGATTTGCCCTGCCAGACCTTAGACTTTATTATGAATCAGCAGCATTTTGCTGGCTGAAAGAATGGCTGCTTCTTGAGAACACAGACATTTTGGATTTAGAAGGTTTCAATAATGTATTTGGGTGGCATGCATATTTGTGGTATGACAAGGTCAAAGCGCATAAAGCATTTAAAAACCATATTGTCAGGAAAGCATTGTTCAATATCTGGATAAGATATAAAGATTTGCTTGAAAATAAAACCCCAAGGGGGCTATCACCGATGGAAGCGAAGGCTCAGAAAAAGCTCAATATGGAGGCCAAATGGCCGAAATATTGGGAGATTTTGGAACAAGAAGGAGATAAATTGAAATTGCAGAGTTTTGAGAAACTTAAAAGATAAAGTGTGAGATTGGCTCCATGATTATCAAATAAGGGAGGCTTATAATCTGGACAAGAAAATTGGCTTCCAGGTGGAAAAATCAAAATTGGAAACAGAACTGTTAGATCCCCAAACTAAGATATTATCAAGAATGTATAACTTGCTGTTGAAATGGAATACTCAGGATGAAACGGTGAAATCTGCTATGATAAAATGGGCACAAGATGTCGGACATAACATTATGTTGGCTGACTGGGAACAGTTATGGACCACAGGTATGAAATTTACAGCATGTAATGCCTTAAGAGAGAATATTATGAAAATGATATACAGGTGGTACATGACACCAGTCAAGCTTGCAAAAATCTACCATTTGCCTGATAATAAATGTTGGAAATGTAAAGAAAATGAAGGTACATTCTTTCACCTCTGGTGGACGTGCTCAAAGATCAAGGCTTTCTGGGAGATGATATATAATGAAATGAAAAAGGTATTTAAATATACCTTCCTCAAGAAACCAGAGGCCTTTCTCTTGGGCATGGTCGGCCAATTGGTGTTAAAGAAGGATAGAACTTTTTTATGTATGCTACAATAGCAGGAAGAATACTCATTGCAAAGTATTGGAAGACACAAGATCTACCCAC